CTCCCCCTCCCCATACCTCAAACTCTTCGGCGATGGTTGGCCCCTCCAGGAAAAGGCGGGTGCCCAAACAGGAGACGGGACCAAAATTAGAGGTGAAGTCACGGAATTCGGCGTAAACTTTGGGGTACAGAGCTGCTGAGAGTAAATCCTCGGGGCTGGGGGGGGTCCCATCGCGTGCCCCCAACTCTTGGCTCAGTGCTTCGAAGTCCAGGGGGGGCAGAGAAGCCCCCGGGCGGCCCTCCACACGTGGGAGGTCTTTCAGGACCTGGGGAGAGGATGCTGACGTTGCTATGGTGATGAGGGTTGTGGTAACCGGGTCCTCAGATGATGAGGAGCCGTTGCCATGGCAACCGAAGGTGTTGATTGTCAGTATGGATGGGATGGTGAGATGCACAACGGGAGCTGAGAGCCAGGGCAACCAGCCATGGTAACCATGGCAACCGACCATGGAAACCAGCTATGGCAACCAGCCATGGTAACCATGGCAACCGACCATGGTAACCAGCCATGGCAACCATGGCAACCATCCACTGCAACCAGCCATGGTAACCATGGCAACCGACCATGGTAACCAGCCATGGCAACCATGGCAACCATCCATAGCAACCATCCACGGTAACCATGGCAACCATCCAAGGTACCCATCCATGGTAACCATGGCAACCCTCCATAGCAACCATCCATGGCAACCATCCATGGCAACCATCCATAGCAACCATCCATGGCAACCATCCATGGCAACCATGGCAACAAGCCACGGTAACCATGGCAACCATCCATGCTATCCATCCATGGCAACCACAGCAACCATCCATGGCAACCAGCCATGGTAACCATGGCAACCATCCATAGCAACCATCCATGGTATCCATCCATGGTAACCATGGCAACCATCCACGGTAACCATGGCAACCAATCATGCTATCCATCCATGGCAACCACAGCAACCATCCATGGCAACCATCCATGGTAACCATGGCAACCATCCATGGCAACCATCCATGCTATCCATCCATGGCAACCATGGCAACAAGCCACGGTAACCATGGCAACCATCCATGCTACCCATCCATGGTAACCATGGCAACCATGGCAACCATCCATAGCAACCATCCATGGTATCCATCCATGGTAACCATGGCAACAAGCCACGGTAAC